CACCGCACTTCTGCTTCGCGGCTCCGGAGTAGCTGCCAGTAGAAGATGCAGCTGTCTATGTTTCATTTCGTCCGCATCCGCTCTCGCATCCAACCAGCAACCGCATCCGCGCAACCGCCTCTTATGACATTCGCTTGATAACATGTTGTGTTATTCTCTTTTGCCGGCACAAAAGACGCCTCGTCTGCTTATAGAAACATTATGATTCTTTATACCTTTACTTCTGTTTACTTTAAGATGTATTAGGATTTTTACTGAGGAAAGCAAAGGAAATTCTTACAAAAACACTTGTATTTATTTAAAACAAAAGGAGAAAAGAGAAGTAAAAAAATAAAAATTTCGTAAACGAAACGTGAAAATTATAAATACATGTTCGTGATTCGAACCCGCACCCCTTAACGCTGCAGTCATTGTTAAGCCACTGCGCCACATAGCCGCCCAATTAGACTCCAAAGTAATATTGTCTGCTAAAGCTATTGAAATTAAAAAAAAAATTCCAATTTCAATAGAGAAGAAGGCTGGGTAACTACCACCTGCTTGGGATCCTGTATTTAATAAAATTAAAAGTAAACCCAAACATACCACTGCAAGAGTTCAAGACACAGTAGTTCCTTCTGCGTAGATCGGACCAAATGTAATAATTAAAAACTGAAGGTACTCCGGGTTAACTCTGACATAAGGACGTCAATCACCTCAGTCCCCCGTGACCATGGGTGCTGGAAAGCGCCCGAAACGCCGGATTAAAATTATGCAAATTAAACGCGATAAAATCCGTAAAAGTATATGTTTTCTCAAAACGAAACACGAAGTAAACCAAAAACTCAACACAATAAAGGATTCTGCATATAGAACAAAAACCAAAAAATTTAAATGCTTTATTATTCAAGTTATTTTCAATGAAACTTAAGATTTAATAATATCTATATAAGTATGGTAATGCAAACAAGTCAAATCGATCAAAAGTGACAGCAAAATTATTAAGTCCATAACAGCTGATGCATTATTTGATACAGGATACCGCATGCATGCCACTGAAACACAAAATACAATGACATTCAATAAAACTTTCACAACGAGGACTCTACAAATATACCTTAAACGTGGCCGCTTTCAATCGATCCTGCAGACGGCTGCCATTCGCGCCAGCTGCCAAATTTTTACCGGCATAGATTTTTTTATAGAGTAAGGGTGACAAATGAGCACACAGTCCACCTGATGGTAAATGGATGCTGTGGTATATAGATATCTACATTTATTATCAATAAATAATGAAAATATAGATGCGTTCTCAACCTTGTGGACTAAGATGGTATGCCTTATTGTTTCCAGTAAAAAGGGATTTCCGGTTCTCTACACTCACTATACAAAACACAGAAACATTAAACTGCTTTTTTACGCTGATGTTCTGTGAGAGCGTGGTCCTTCCACTGTCGAGCCAAATCATTTGTGACAAACTATAATATAGCTGCAGCATAGCTCTACCACGTCAAAAGCATCGAGTCGATTTATTAATGAATTTTACATTTATACTGCAAAAAGTCCGAAGTAGAAAAAAGGTCATAAAAACGTCCCCGTTATATAAAAAAAAAAAAAATAAAAAAAAAAAATTGCCAGTCACTAGATTCCAGTACAGACGCAAGTCAATGGGTTTTATTATTGGAAAAGCGCTAACACAAACTTATCAACGAAATTAAATAATATGTTAATTAATTAATATTTAAAATTTAATTGTTAGTCTCGATAAAGTACACGAGTGCCATTCACGCGAAAACATTTTTTTGTTTGGAAGTAATTTGATTTTATACACACATTTATATCGGCAACATTTCGTTCGACAAAACGATTTATTATTATCGATATACATATATTGATATATTTTGCAAACTATTATTATGATAACTATAATGAGCCAGAAATAAATCCCATGTGTATCCTTAACTTTTTATATCTACGTAAAATATGTGTTGAATAAAACTAAGATTTCCTAGGTAGGTATCGTGATGAAATTGTAGTAGAACGAAGTACAAAAAGTCACGCAGAACGTTTAGCGAATAATTTTTTTTTATTAGAGACACTGGCCATTTACAATTTAATTATCAAAATAAGAGTATTTACAAGTAAAAATACAAATGTTCCAATTTTAAATTTCTCGCCATATTTTTACGACCTAAATCTTACAGACGGAAATTGTGCTAGAAGAGAAAAAAGCATTCATGTTAAATTCACCAGTCAGTATTAAGATTGAATGCCTCGTTTGCAGTAAAAAAAGGTCTGCAGCTCTCAGTAACACAGGAGAATTAAACTGCTATTTTACGCTGGTATTTTGTGAAAGCGCAGGTAACTGAAATTCCGACCCTGCATTTTGATGATCACATCACGTTTGACTTGATCTTAAAAAATAATTCGCTAACCGCGACAAATCTACTAATGTAATAAATTAAAAAAGATATCTTAATTCCGCCAATGTAGCGATAGGTCTTACTGTTCTCTAGATATTATGCTGTGCGCACAAGCAACGCGCACACGGACACGGAATCTCAAATTGCTAAGGACACATGTAAATGTTTATGGGCCTCAGTATTCACTTACCATTAGGTGCACTGTGTGGTCGTTTGCTACCCTAATTTTGTATAAAGGACCAGTCCCCGAATCCAATTAGCCATTGTCTGCATTCAAGTGAGATTTCAAAAGCTAACCCAATTACTTGATTGGTAGCTAACTACAAGAGTATTTGTACAGGTGAGAACAAAGTTGATTACCATTAGTACCTCTGTTTCATTTCCTAGTGTCGTGGAACTTTTTACGATTATTAGTAAGTTAAATTAAACATCGATCCTCGATTACGAATCAAAATGCAGATGCGTTGTCACTCGTGAGGACTAAGATGGAATGCCGGCCTCTAGTAAAATGGGTCTCCAGTTCTCTACACCCACCATACGAAACACAGCAGCATTAAGTTACTATTTCACGCTGGTATTCTGTGATAGGCTCAGACGAAATAAAATAAAATTTATTTCGTCTGAGGTGATAGGGTGGCCCTTCTCCGGTCGCCGACACAATCGTGCTACAACCATAATGTAGGTGCAGCGTGCCTCTACCACGTATAAATTAATTGACATATATTCACCAGATTCACCAGAAGACTTGTAAAAGTTGTAACGATGATATTGATGAAGCCAAATAATTGTTTCCTTCTAACATATCGGCACAAAATACTGCATTTGCAAAGTTTTCTGTACGGTTCTGTAATCTGATTCAGTTTAATAGTTGCAAATTCTCCAAAATATTTAATCCTAGGTGTCATATATATAATAACTTTTACAGATTTTTTTTAATCTTCAATCCAACGCATCTGAATTTCAGTCTTCTAGATTTGCATAAATTTTTTGGAAGCTTTGAATATCCTTTTCAGCTTAATTTTAAGTTACTTTATTGTATTTTGTTGTCATTAGTTAAATATTGACACACAAACTGCAATCCGACTGTATACTGCCAAATGCTTAGCAATATAAAGCTACGAAATAAAACTAATTTTACGGATTCTGTTGTCATTAGTTAAATATTGACACACAAACTGCAATCCGACTGTATACTGCGAAATGCTTAGCAATATACAGCTACGGAATAAAGCTAATTTTACGGATTTTGTTGTCATTAGTTAAATATTGACACACAAACTGCAATCTGACTGTATACTGCGAAATGCTTAGCAATATACAGCTACGGAATAAAACTAATTTTACGGAATTTACGAATTGTATTTTAACTTTTTTTTTTAATTCCCGACATTTGTATTCTATATACAGTCTTCACGTAAATATAAGAAATCAATGTAAAACTAAATTTCTTCTAGTTTTCCTCGTGTCGAAAAGTCAACACGAGTGTCTTCTTACATTAATTATTTTATTTTCTGTTCAAATGTAAGGAAAGGCATACGTAACTTCTGAAATTTATGACACAAAGGCAATAAAATGTACTTAACTAATATTTAAGTTTCTGTATCTAATATTGATAAGACTAGATAAATGTATGCCGTGGTTGCAGGTTATCTGCACGGATGGTGAAAGATCGTCGGGAGAGCGTATTAAGTCAAATACGAACGAGTCGCATCCGCGTTTACCTGGTCACGTAACTGTTTCTTCCCGATCCTCGGACGCATAAAAGACCGATGAGCCTCAATTATTCTACAAGCACAACATAAACTGACAACATGGCGGATTGCGACGTTGCCATGCCGGGCCGGGCGGCTGACTCGTCACGTGACGTCACGTCTCAAGATGGCCGCCGTACCGGTCGCCTCCCCCCGCTCCCGCTCGTCAGCCGGATCCATCCGCGTCGCTATAATAATAATTCAGAATGCAACCCGAAAGGAAACCGAGCGAGAATAGATTGAAATTTAATGCATCGAGCACGTCGGTTACACGCGTTAATGCTAATTGTTATTCTACGGCAGCAGCTGTTTACTTTCGTTGAATAATGTCGGCTCTGTTAGCGGAATCGAGGTTCCTCGGATGTGCTGCGACTTCATGATTCACTTCGTCCCGGCGCACAGTTACATTTTAATTATTTGTCGTGAATTCGCCTCTGAACTCACCAGTTAATTAAAACTTCTAGGAGATAAAAGCCCGAGCAACAAAACTAAAATAAATGGCGTCATAGTTGTAATCTATCTATTTTTACTAAAATATAACTGTTGTCAGTGGGTGAATCATTTTTTGTTTATGAACTCATTTCACCTTGACTAATAGTTTTTTGTCCTCGACGCGCGATTATTTACCAACGACTCTGTATTACTTTACCTTACTAATTATGAACAATATGTAATCACAATGAGGGAGCCGCCGGTAGATAATTGATGTACCGCTATTATTAGGAAACTGATCTTTTACATACAGTTATGAACTATTTGTAAAAGATCAGAGTTTTTTTTTAAATGTACATAATTCTGTTGTAAACAATCTCATCTTCGATGCTGGTTTAGAGCTGTAATTAATGTTGTAATGTTCTGCATATGCCTCGACAAGTCGTGCGGGCGTGCGGGGAGCGGGCGGGCGCAGCTAACGGGCGTCCTGCGCGCGCTGACGTCACCGCTCGATAGCGGCCCGGCCCGCCCGGCGCCCGCACCCGCCGCTCAGTCCCCGCAAGTCCGCCGCGCGAACCGCACGCAAGGCAAGCTCTCCGCACGCCGATACGAATGTGAAACCAGTGTTTGCGTGTACCATGGTGACAGTGTCTCTCGACGCGAGTACAACTAATCAGTGAAAATTTACAAAGGAATCGAACAAAACCGATCTCTCCCGTTCCGCTCGACGGCCGGCGAGATGTCGGTGATGCAGAAAAGACAGCACTGCTACCTGTGCGATCTGCCCCGCATGCCGTGGGCGATGCTGCACGAATTCTCCGAGGCGGTGTGTCGCGGTTGCGTGAACTATGAAGGTGCAGATCGCATAGAAGTCGTGCTGGATACTGCTAGGCAATTAAAACGAGCGCACGGATTTCAAGAAGGCAGAGGCCCGACGCACGCGAAAAGTGCTCACCGAGCTCCTTTGGAAGCGCACCAGAATGGAGGCGAGAATACTGGCCGAGGCCAACCGGCACCACCAGCTCATCACGCGCCTTCTGCAGGCTTTCCGCTTCATCACACACGTCCTACACCTAGCGCGGGCTTATTAGCCGAGTACGGAAGTAGACGAGAAGAGCACGAAGGAAGGCGGTTGACTCATTTGCCCACTCACCATCTTCCTACTCACGCGGGCGCCCGTCTCGCCCCTGGACTTACTCTTAAGCGGCCACTTGACGACGATGATCATCAAACACACCATGAGCCTGCGAAAAGGCTTTTAGAGGAGCACTCGAGACCTCCGCTAACACGCGGAGAGTCCCTTCCGGCCGTGTCCCTTGCGGCTCCATTCGCCCCCGATCGAGTTTTCAAACAAGAGAAACATCCACTCCGCACGCCGTCTTTCGACGCGTCCTCGTTCAAAACTAACGGTAAGTTCATTTTCACTTTCTTTGCATGTCTTTTTCTCGCATCAAGTTGTATTTCAACTAGAACTGTTTAACGAAAACATGAAATTAGTAATTTAAAATGAACGTACATAATTTTAAAAGTAAGTTGTTGATATAGGTACCTAAATTAAACATTTTTTTATGATGTGATGTGTTTGGAAAATGACACTTGATATTTTTATTTTGTATCGTCAAAAGCAAAGACTTCTCTTATACGGCAGAGTTTTAAAGTGATGGAAAGACCTTTGTATATTTTTTATTGGTACAAGTTGTAAGATATTTCGTTTAAAAAGTTTATCGTGGCTGGCTTTTTAAAATATAATCAAAAAAGAGAATCACAATGTAACAAATTAATTGTATAAAGTTGTATATGATGGCATTTATATTTGTAGTATTACATTCCATGTAACTCGTTCAAATTAGTTCGTTGACTCCGAAGTAAAACGAAGTATATGATTTTTCTCAAAACACCATCGTTGTTACTTTTTGGTTTCTAGTTAATTTTAAAGAGAACTTATTTAATTCTGTATAGGTATGTGATTTTTTAAACACCAGCGTTCTCAAATACATAACGTGCTTTAATGACAGTTTCCGGTTAAAGAACATAGTTTAACCCCGAAACTACCAATAAAACACGTTTTGTAAGAAGATGACGAGCAAACGTTGATCAACTCATTACACACACAGGTCATGCTATAATTATAAATGGTATAAAAAGATAAAATGCAGATTCGTCATTGTTCTACGACCGTGAAATTTTAATATTTATCAATTGTAAAAACAAATGCTATGCTTTACTTTATATTCACGGATCTATAAAAAGGCTGTAATAAGTCGTAGGGATTTTAGAAAGATTATCTATATCATAAAATGCTTTAATATACCCTATCGATTTAACAACCTAACTTTTCATATGAATCTAAGTCTAAACATGACTTTATCAACAAAAATGATCGTTAATGACAGACGAATTTAATATCCGAACGCAGAATTAACAATTATGCTGATATAGCACAACAGAAATGCCATTGTTTACCAATAACAATGTGGGTTAACATTGTAAAAATAGCGATTCGGAGTCACGCGTTATGCGATAACGCACGATAGTGGAGCGCGTACGTGTCCACACGGACAGCGGGCGTTTTGCGCAAGCGTTCGAGGGATTCATATCTAGGTAGGCATTAACTCAGTCCATAAATACGAAACCGGTTGGACTGGTTGAGCGTTCTCGAAAGCGAGCTCGCGATCGCGGCCTCTCGCACACCGGCGCTCTACGTACGAACACCCACGTAACGCGGACAGAGCGGCGTGGCAACGCCGCGTGACGACATTTTCGCTCTACGTATGTAGATAGGCCAGCCAGCGAAAAAATATAACGCCTGCCTACGCTTGGCAGAGTCGCTCGACCACATTCCGCTGGCGTGTAGGGAGCCACGAGCTGTCGGCCAAAAAGGTCACCGTATGTGACGTCACCGCCTCCATATGGGCCACGATGCGACCGTCTCTCGCGCCCTTTTCTACCATCGCATCTGTTTACGTCCCTCTATCTATATCTTGTTGTAATAATTCACATACATAAATCAGTTAAAGTTGATTAGGAACATTTCCTTTATGAACGGCATATTACGGAAATTCAACGTACTTTGTATAAAATTAGTAATGTTAACAGTAGTAATATAAAATTAAAATACGCGCCTAAATGTGGACTTGCGGAAACGAGTCAGTTACAAACAAATTTTATATGGTTAAAATCAAGTTCCATAACCTTCGAAAATAACCTTAAAACCATACTGTCTGACATGTGACATCTCGCTTTCTATTGCTTGTTAATGTAACATGCATTGTTTTGTCGTCCACACGTACTATTGCGTTCGCCGGTTCAATCCTATCAAAGATACGCGTTCATGTCTCAAGAGTGTTTCACAAGTCGGCAGTGGTGTGCATACAGAACAAACGCGACGTTTGGCAACGCCGCGCCATACTTTACCCGTCTGCCACCACAGTAGGCCGCCCAGTGACACACGCACGACGTAAGCATACAACACGCTATTTATATGACATTATGAGCGTGTACGTGTTTACTATCGGTCCACTGCATACGATGTGTCATCCTGAATACTCGTTCCGATTTTCGTAACGTCCACATGTCATTTGGTTAATAAGGATTCGTAACATATAGGGTGTTCGAAGAAAACGGATTTATTTCTTTAAAAATAGTTAATGCTACTTTCAAACAAACACCGTTAGAAAATTAAGTACAAAAATCAAACTGTTTCTTTAAACAAGTCATTATCATTATGCACTATGTAACTGAAGTAACTATAATAACAGGAAACGAGCTTCATTTATATTTCTGTTTTGTCCGTTATGCTAACGAGTTATATCTATTGTGACGACAGCAGGATGCTAATGATGCTTCGAATTACTTCAAATGCCGGTTTATAACTTAAGTCATTTGTTGTTTTTCTATTATTATCTGTCGTATCTATTTTTTTCTCAATAAAACAAAACAACGTAGTGATTTCTTATATTTACGCGAACATTTTAATCAAAACAACGTAGAAGAGAAATAATCATGACAAAAACGAGTTAACGATTTCCGCCGATATTTCTTGCTCGTTAGGCAAGCGGCTGCATTGTTTTCCTAGTCTTAATTATGATTGCCGTCAGCCCAAATACAGACAGCAGGTGAAGTTCGACTGTATCCCATAAACTACATTTCGTTGATATTATTATTCCGTGTTCACTATAGCAGTTTTACATCAGAACAGAAAAAGTATCGTTTACCACCGGTCCCTTGCAGGTGTAACAGACAGTCTGTCTTAAAATCTGTAAGATACTCAGATGGGAAAAGCAGATTATAATAATCTGTGCCTGCTTATTTAAAAATGGCACCGCCATAAAGACCTTAAGAATATTAAACTGATATCTTTAATATGTATGCGTAGATATATGGATGTAAAGGAGGCGAAATAGGTATGTCAGGATCGTGCCAAATGGAAGTCCGTAGTCTCTGCCTACCCTTCTGGGTGACAGGCGTGAGTGTTTATGTTATGTTATGTTTATCTTTAATAAAGAATCGTTCGAGGAAAGAGTAGAAAAAGTATTGAATAGTGGTTCTTAAAAAGCATTAAGGTTGTTAAAACTCAATAGTTCAGAGATGTGCAGATTATATTGCTTGTAATCGAACATATACCTTCAGTAGACAACGCAATAACTACCTAGGGATTTTAACTTTTAACCGAAGAAAATTAAAACGCTAAAAATTAAAGCCTTATACCCAGTCGCATTTTGTTGTAAGTCTCGCTAAGGTCATGCACGATGAAACGGGGGAGATCAACCCCAACCACCCCCTCCCCCCAAAACCCCCCCCCCCACACCACCCACCCCCCCACAACCCCCACCCCCCCCAAACCCCCCCCCCCCCCCCCCCCCCCCCCCCCCCCAACCCCCCCCCCCCCCCCCCCCCCCCCCCCCAAAAAAAAACCCCCCCCCCCCCCCCCACAGCAAGATGGATCGTATGTAAGACTTAAATCAACTCCTACAATTCATTACAAATGTACGTCTTAGCAATAATATCAACAGTAACATATGAGGTATTACATCTTAGTCCACGGGCTAGCAACACAGCATCCACTTATTATCAGGTGGACTGTGTTTTTGTTTGTCACCTTTATTCTATATGAAATCGTTTTTAGCCATAACAGCGATCGCAGTAGACCATTATTGGTCATAGTCGTAATTATCCTCGCAAAATCTAAAAAGCACTGGCACATTATAAAAATTAAAAACGTACGTATGAGCGTGTTCACACTTAGTACAGCCTATGTCGAAACAAGTTTATAATATACGAACCGAACATTTATTACACAATAAATTACATATAATGTAAGAAATATAATGTCTATAAAGAGCATGTCAATTTAAACGTTAGAAAAAAAATTGATTTCTTGTGGATTCTTCATTTTCCAATCATTCGGTATATTTTTGTCTAAAGGTCACATCAATCTAATTGATTTAGAATTCTTGAGCTATCTTTTTTTAATAAAGGAGACTGCTTGCTTTTACATAAATTGCTTATATAATGTTAAGAAATACTGACTTGATGCGACAATTTAGTTAGTAACTCCACTATGGAAACACTACAATCGAGGTATAGGTATTAAATCTTGAAGGTGTTCCAGGTTACTCGAGCAACGTAGGCGGCGTCGGAAGTGTGGGTGGAGCTAGTGGTGCGCCACTTACCAACGGTGCGGGGGGGTCTCCATTGGGCAGAGCAGCGGCTTCGCCCCCCGGCCGGCGGGCCTTCGCCCATGGCGGCGCTCATGTCGGTGGCTGATACGCTGCCCCCGGGCAGCCCGCGCTCCGCTGGTGGCTCACCTCCTCAGCCCCCACCTCAACGCTCCAACAGCCGCTCCAGCCAGCACTCGCCCAACTCCTCAGGTTAGCAAAGACATACTAAAACCACTAAACCAAATAAGATTTTCCTAGATTCCCTCTTATATTTCGGTTTCTGTACTTAAAAACGCGTCGCTTTCTTTTACGAGCCGTTTTGCAGTAATGAGGTCCACGACTTACTATTACTTACTATCAGGGTGGCCCTACTTACTAACGAGGTGTAATGTTTGACGCCTTCATACCGGGGGAAATAAGGGTTAACTTAAAGGGTTTCTTTCTGAAATATTAGTTATATTCATTAGATTAGAAATGGATAAACGTAGCTACGGATATTCCTAAAAGTAGGAAAGTTAAGAGGGTTAAAAAGGTGCAAAAAAATTAAAGAATTAATCACTGAGGCTATCTTATGTGTATTCACAGACTAGAAATCGATAAACTTTTATTTTAGTTATCAATTTCTTATTCAAAATGACCTTATGCAACAAATAACTTCACCTCACTCCTTACTAGCGACATCTGGTGAGTTTAAAAATAATTTTCCCTTATTGAAGTTCAACTATTTATGAACCGTTTAGTTATTTCATTTTAAGACATCCGCGAGCGTTGTTGAATAAATAGTTTGTAATATAAACTGTTTTGACATGCACCTTTTGTCACGTAATAAAACGGATCGTTACGCAGAACGTAAACATATCTGGATTATAGGAATGGGGTATTAGACAAAAATAATAAATTTAAAGTAAAATATTACAGTCGTCTCAACTGAGTTAAGGTATACAAATAGAGCTTCATAAACCACAAACGCAAACGTAAAACTAAAGAAAGTTCAATTAAAACAGCCTGTAGAATTTTGTATACTGTATGATAAATTAATTTAAAACTTAACTGAACGCATATGTATATATAAAGTATTTTTTTACGAAAGCTAGATAGTATTTTGCAATGCGTTAATTGCAATTGGCTTTTATGATATTACAGACATGATTAATAATACTTGCAAAAAAGATTATGGAATGTTGCTTGAAATTAACATACATTTTGCTTTAATAACATTTTAATAACCTTAAGTAGCTTCAACATATGCAAGAGTCTGAAAGCTGTAATTAAATTTATTATTTTTTCAAATAACAACGCATTGCCAAATTAACAATGGCAGGATCGTGACTGCATAATTTCGGTTTCAAGCACGAACGGTTAAAAAACGCGCAGCGGGTAAATTAGTCGCTCCTGCAATCGGTTTCGTTTTCGGCCACCGTTAATCGAATCGCCGACGACCGCTGCGCCCGTTGATTTAGAGTTGATTCTGAGACCGTGGGAGTTGCCACCTTTGTTTCATTAAATCTTGTTTCTCCAAATCGAACATGATCATGTCGTTCTTAAAACTGAGCGTCCAAATGTATTATTATTACATGGTTCTAAAATGTCTTCTATCTTTTCAGTAGACTTGCAACGAATATTCGGCTGTTGTTCGGTATTCGGTTACTTTTGTCCTATTCGTCCGAATACTGAATACTTAAGTAAGATGTTTTGTTGTAATCACATAATGGTAAAATTTCAGATGATAGTTTACTCTTCTTCTTCTCGTAGACATTCCCAGATTCAGAAAAGACGCTCTGAATAAATACTATGTACTTCCTTTCCAGCCGAATACGTTTGCCCAATATTCGTATATTTGGCTAGGAAGCCCGTAGAAAATTCGGTATTTGGCGTGTGGCGGAATATACAGTGGAATCTCGATAACTCGAAAATAGTTTTAAGTCATAATCCCTAGTGAGACAAACGAAAATTGCCGTTTCCGCTGAACCCACAAATACGCGATGTTTCGAATTATATTTGTAACTCGAGCAAAATGTTATTTTCCTGCAAAGTATTGATGGTACATATTTATACTCTTTAACTCGAATTTCAAAAAGCAGACTCCGTAAGTCGAAGTTAGTAAAATATAATGACGTCTTACTTGGGTATCCCAAAACTCTTTTATGTGTACTTTGTAGACGTGCAATGAATGAATACATTCATTAAACTTTCTCCTTACCCATTTTTGTAACTTATGATCAGTGGGGAAAAATCTCGAAATTCTTGTCAACCTTGAAATTCCAGTTTTTGAGATTTCATAGTTCGTTGCAAGTCTGGTTATTAGGTTTAATCATATAAGCACACACAAAATATGCTGGTATCCTGTACACCAAGAGAACAGAGGTGGCAACAGATCGTATCGTGTTACGCATCTCGTAGTCAGTTTACAACGTCCTCTGTGGTGTGTGATGGCGTTGCAAACTGAGGGGTGTCGGTTTGGTGCAGGGTCGAACGGCGGGCGCCGGTCGTCGGGGTCGCGGCACGTGTCGTCCACCACGTCGGTGTCGTCGAGCGAGGCGGCCGACGCCGAGCCGGCCGCGCCGCTGCTCAAGTGCACACTGTGCCAGGAGCGCCTGGAGGACACGCACTTCGTGCAGTGCCCCAGCCAGCCGCACCACAAGTTCTGCTTCCCGTGCTCGCGGGACTCCATCAAGCGCCAGCAGGGTTCCGAGGTCAGTTCCGTTGCTGCTGTATTACTGTGTGCTGTGTACTACTGTGTCGCGATAATGGAGGCCGTACTGAACACTTTATACTATTTTACCTTCAAAAAAATTCAAGCAATTTATTCTTTGAAAAATATTTTTTCGATGCAACGAAAAAGCGACACTAAAAAAAGATAAACATATACCTACAGGATTTAGCCTGCGAGAGAATGAGATAGAATACAAATCTTTATGCTGTGCTTTAAAAATGGGCAATATAACTTTTAACTGTAAAAATGAACATTTATAATCTTTCTATAGGTTTCACTTCTACCGCGTGTGAACTGTACACTTGTTTTTAAAAATGCCTCACACTAGGATTTTTTTCATGTGGTGGAGGCAGTTTATATACATAAATTTCACAAGGACAGACATACAGACCTGGAACAATTATTTGTACGCCATACAAATACTTGTTCCGTGTGGGATTCCGCAACTCATTGCTAAGCCACTGTGCCACGAAACCGTCAAAGCTTTTGAAAGATACAGTTTAATATTAAAGAATAAATTGCACTATTTTTTTAACAACATAGTATACTCTTTCCGTTGACAATGTAGCCGCCATTACCTCGATATCCTTACGAGCGAGTTTTGTGCGATTGTGATGTATCGGTCCGCGAAACGCACGACAAAGTAGTTATCCTGATATTAAATGCTCACGACCTGAGACTCACGGCGCGGTTACTAAATACTTATAAAGCAACACATTTACTAAACTTCTTGAAATCTTCATTGAATCGTACAAACTCGCTCGTTTCTTTCATTGTTGTTCTTGCCTATAGGAACGATTTAAAGATGATATAATTTGATTTTCAGGTCTACTGCCCAAGCGGGGAGAAATGCCCCCTGGCGAACTCCACAGTCCCGTGGGCGTTCATGCAGGGTGAGATCGCCACAATACTAGGCGAGGAGTTCAAACCCAAGAAGGAGCGGGAGACCTAGGGCAGCGCTGCCTCGCCCCGACTCTACCTCTTGTCCCTCGCGCTGTAAAGCAGTGGGAGGAGAACGGCCTCGGCCCCGCCGGCCTGTCGGCCTCGTCGCAACCGGCCCCGGACTTCGGCCTCGGCCTGTCGCTCTCTCGGTCTCGGCCGCAGCGGCACAGCTCGTCCGGCTCACCCGGCGCAACCGATGTGTATATAACTTTGTAAATAGTCGAGTTAATTTAGGCGCACACCGAAGCTGACGAAGCGGAATCGTCTTTCGGCGGTCAAATACCGTTGTATGAAACGTGAACCGTATTCAGTGTAAAGGATATGTTACTTCTTGTTTATTTACCCGCGCCGGGAACTGAGTTCGTAACTCTTCGTTTGCGATTTGACCCTATCGCGGACATTGCAATATACTGAATACATATCCGTTTTGTAGGATTTTTACAACGGATCTTTTGTCTTGGTCATTGGAGTGCGTTCATGAGAACGCTTCGCGTGCGGAGTCTATTCGGATGCCATTTTCTTAGTTACCCTTAGGTCCCGTACCATAGTGAACTTGGCATTTATTTATGTGATTCTTATACACTTGTACGAGTATTATGCGATATATGACATGACATACAATAAATATTTTACTTAGTCGAGTACCGACTGTTGAAACATAGTTTCGTATATCAGAAGCGTATCGCTCCCTGTACAGAATTAGCTCCTTGTATATTTGTATTTATTATAGCGCATTCGAAAATAGTCTTTTTTATACTATAATGATTGTGATTATTTCAGAGTGGCTCGAGTTCCGTTACTATCTCTGATTCGACGAATACAGTCAGCCCGAGAATAATTAAAAATTTGCTTCTAAGACGATTGAGGGATTGTTCAAAAATTCTTGCTTCGTTTGTTCGCTCCAAGGAGCGCTCGGGTTGATTATTTTGTAAGGTTATGTCGCGTCACGGAGTCGGGTACGTGTCACGGACTGACGCTTTGGGATTTTCTGCTGCATCAATTGTTCAGTGCAATTACGTGTCCCGAAGGTTCAGTTTGCGACAAGTGGAGTAGGCTACAGTATTAGCGAGATCGCTTTTGTGTGTTGAGGACGTGCCTAGTCATTTTGTGAATTGTCAAATTATCAGATCCGCAAGCAACGCGGCCGTTATAGGAACTCTTAAAACTCGCTGCTATATTTGTATAAAGTGAAGTAATTATCATTATATATGTCATAATGTTCTAGTGTGTGTCAATTTCGAAGGCTATCAGAGACGTGCGGCCTTTATAAATTTCTTTTGCACTATTTGTTTAGTTTTATTTATCTAAAGTTTCCGATCCTTACGCGAACGAATTGAAAGTTTCTAATTTCAAGCGAAACAAAACATCGATCGAGAGACTTGAGAATACCATTAAAGTGAACGGATCGATTCTAATCGCAAGAAGGTACGAAACAATACAAAGTGAATGTTGGATCTCATGCTTAGGATAATCCAAACGAATTTGCATTATGTACCATCTTTTGCTTGGAATGTCATGACCTGACTTGTACATATCCTTGACAGTTCGCGTCCGTAGCGGGACGCGATTTTGTCCCAAACGCTGTGTTTTAAGAAGTTTCAATTGAATTGACATACCCGTTATTTATTTTAGATTGTTTGTGTACATATACGTACCTTGTATATACTTCGTCTACTTGTAAATATTGATGTTGCGGGATAGCCGCACAGTTAAAGGCTATTCCTTCAGTATTATTAAGAACTTTGTAGTTATTTTCTTTGTATTAAAATTTAATCAGTTGTTGTTATTAATATGTACAAACATCACACAATTATTTAAATGTAAGCTCACACTGCGTGCATTTTATTTGACGAGTGCTGTAGAGCACACTGGTAACATACTTAATTCAGTCAGCAATGTATGTTTATAAATATATCTAAATAGAAACTTGTGCAAGTTGTAAAAGTTAATAACAAACAAACCGATAAAGTTGATGAAGTCTGGGAGCCACCTAACGACATCACTCTGATAGATTCGAAATTGATTTTAGCATTGTCAATGGAACGCCCGCCTGGGTTTGTCGACTTGACTCGGCCGAAATCGGCAAAGGTACATTTTGTAAGCACACATGTGCAACTGACTTTTGAGGTGATAAATGTGCACATGAAAATTCTGGCTTAATAAAACCAAGCGTAAAATATAAATATTTATGCCACGTAATATTTAACATTGAATTACAATAACATGTATTTGTAAATACGATTTCTAATATTCATGGAGTTTTATAAATATTAACTAGTGTATTTCGCGCCATAAGCTTTTAAGTCTTATCAGCATAAATGTTTTAATCAATGTATTCACTAATATTGTATAAATAGAACAAATGGTGGTTTTATTTATTATTAAAACAAATTAAAGCAAAAACTAATTATATAACTGAATATGTTATCCGTATTACAATATGATGTAGTTTTTATATTTATAATGATTTGGGTTTTTTTTATAGAATAGGGTGACAAACGAGCACACAGTCCACCTGATGGTAAGTGGTTGCTGCGGCCCATAGACATCTACATATATCCTCCATTAAAAATCAAAATGCAGATGCGTTGTCACCCGTGAGGACTGAGATGGAATGCCTCGTTTCCAGTAAAAAGGGTCTCCGATTCTCTACACTCACCATACGAAATACAGCAGCATTAAGCTACTATTTCACGCTGGTATTCTGTGAGAGCGTGGTCCTTCCCCGGTCGAGCCGACCCATTCGTGCTACAACTATACTACTAATATAACTGCAGCATGGCTCTACCACGTATAAAACGTACAACATTTTATACATTAATAGAATTCACGTCCCATATATTAAGATTGGTATTAAATACATGGCTTGTTAGAATCTCTTAATTTTTTGAATATATTGTTGTTAATATTTTCCAGAACGAATGTCTAAAGCCCATAGGACTAACAATAGGACCAATATTGTACAAATGAAAGAAAGGAATTTGCGTAATTTGTTGCTGGGCATATGGCATTATACATGAGTCATGAATCACATAAATCCTGTGGATATTTATCACCTCAAAACTATAGTCCGCCTTTACCTATAGGCTTGTTTGTAGTTGTCGACGTTGTTTCGACACAAAAAATAATTTTGAAACTTGTATCTTTCGTACTGTAAGCAGCAAGTGAAATGCTTCGATTAAGACGTTAATGTAAATGCTGGTGAAATACAATTGATGTGATTTTGTAACATGGACCTTTTATTTTACCCTCGCCACTATAATGCAACCCTTGATTAAAAAGGAAAAATTATTACAAAATATAATAGCAGTTTCTAACTGTCATGTAGAATTCATTCTAAGGCGTAACACCGTCGTTTTTTTAGTTTTCTTTGACATGGAAAAGTTTTTCTACGAGTTCCAATAGCAAGTTTTTCTCAGAAAGTGTTGCACAACTTAGAAATATAACTTTACTCAACTGTCAACTCATGTTAATATTTCAATGTTGATTGACAGTTGACATTATTAAAATTCGGCAAATTAGTTGATATTTCAACTTCAGAGGCAATATGATTAAGAGGTTTCTTATAAATATTATTTTGCCTCTATTATACTGTTAAGCTGATATTATTTGATGACAAAAGCTATAAACAACCCAAGAAAACATCCTTAAAATTTATCATAGAAATGACACATGATCAAACTAATATTATTCTATACATAGAGAAAATATTTTTATAATATTTTGAAATTCACCATTATGTCGTGAAAATTTTACTCATGCTGCTGGTCGATTTTCAAGCTCTAGCTTTATCAGTTTCGTAACGATATTGTTTAGAGAGGTATATATTTTATATTAATAAATAGTGTATACCTATTATTAAGTTATGTAAATGAATTATATTAATACAAATAGTAGATTACATGAGGCATATAAGGATATTATAATTATTTTAAATTAAACGAAATTAATAGACAGGATGAATGGGGGAGAGAACATCAGTGGAGTTCTGATAGGTTGCTGTCTGGAAGTCTACTGCTGGTGATGATTGATAATGACTATGATTAATAGAAAACTAATGAATATTTTATATGTTTGTCATCAGATCGGAACAACGGCGAGAGGATGCCCGAGCCGCTGTGTCTCACCAACAGATGAAGTCCGAAATTCACCGTTATCCTGTCGATCGATACTTGGTCAGTATTAGTAAAAAAAAAAACTTTAATTTTGGTATGCTTTAGTAGTATTCACAGTTAAGGAATACCGAGTTTTAGGTTTGCAGCGGAACTTACCTATTTTTGGATGGTTTTTGAGTATATTGTATTTTGACTGCACCTCTTCTCTGATAGTGCATACGACACGAGTTTACGCATAGACTTATGGCAGTAAACTATGCGCAGGTGATAAGTAACATTAGCCGTTACCGCTTCCCCCATGTTTCCCTCCTGATTTGTTTCCCTCTGTCGCCTCGTGACGAGTGACGAGTGACGACACCCGCGAGATGATACGGGCTAGTGGATGTTTTTACACCGCCACTACACTGTGAAGTTCACTATTGTTGTGAACTCACTACCATATTTCTGGATCTAATGTTACAGATTGATCATTATCATCATTTTTACAGCTCTTCACAAATCTAGTGCTGAAAATAGACCTCTCCCAAGGAATGCCACAAAGTAATATCTGATATATTTGTACAATAATGAAGTGATAAGTGAAATAAAGTAATTGTTGTACCTAAGATCGCAATCACACTTAGCCTGAAATATCAACTAATAATTGATTTCAGACTCAGAACTTAAACGAACGAACTTAAAGGGACGTCCTAGGAGAAATTTTATCGACCAAATTGGCGATACATTGAAAATGGGCCAAATTAGGAGTACCCTAACCGACGAGCATGTATGCGTAGGTATATGAATGTGGAAGAGGCGAGAGAGGTGTGTCAGGATCGTCCCAAATGGAAGTCTGTAGTTTCTGCCTACACCTCTGAGTGACAGGCGTGAATATTTATGTTTATGTATTTCGGCT